AGGGTGGGGGCTGACCGGACATGCTGTGGTAGGGAGTTCCAGAGGATGGGAGAGGCTCTGGAGAAGTGCTGGAGGTGAGCGTGGGAGGGGGTGATGAGGGAGCTAGAGAGGAAGATATGGGATGAGCGGAGTGGGTGATTTGGCCGATATCTGTGGATGAGGTTGGTGATGTAGCTAGGGGCAAGGTGTGGATGGCTTTGTAAGCTGTGGTTAGTATTTTGAATTTTATACGTTGGGTTATTGGAAGCCAGTGAAGGGATTGGCAGAGAGGGGCAGCAGACGCTGATCAGTTGGTAAGGTGTATGAGCCTAGCAGCAGCATTCATAATAGACTGAAGGGGGAATAGCCTGTGTACCGGTAGACCAGTGAGGAGGGAGTTGCAGTAATCGAGGCGGGATATAACCAAGGCATTGATAAGTTGTTTTGTGGTGTCATTGGTCAGGAAGGGGTGGATTTTGGAAATGTTCCGGAGGTTCGAGGCGGCAGGATTTAGCCAGTGAGTGGATGTGGGGCCCAAAGGAGAGGTCAGAGTCTAGGATTACGCCTAGCACCCTGGCATGAGGAGAAGGACCAATGGTTGTGCTGTTGATCTTAATGATAAAGTCGTGAGTGGGGGATCGGGGGGGGAGGAAATATTACAAGCTCAGTTTTTGAAAGATTGAGTTTAAGGTAGTAAAATAAAATCTTTTTGTGCTGTGGGTAAAGTGCTATAGTGCGTAAGAAAAAAATCTGCAGCTTCCATATCATCTTTATGGCTAATGTTTGTGTAGAGGGATGCCACATCGGCAGTGACAAGATATGTAGGTGATGACAAGGTAACATCCTTTACAACATTTAAAACCTGTTTTGTATCCCGAAGATAAGAAGGTGTCTGTGTTACTAGTGGCTGCAGAAAATGATCGATATATTCACCGATTTTTGAACACAAAGACCCTATGCCACTGACAATTGGTCTGCCTGGAGGTTTGATCGGGTCTTTGTGAATCTTAGGTAAAATATAAAATACAGGTAGTTTAGGTGCAACTGGAGATAAAAACGCTTTTTATTTTTTTGTTTAAAATCTTATTTTCAAAACCAAATTTGATAATATGTTTAAGAGAGCACTTAAAACCTGGAAGTGGATCTTTTGGGAAGAGAGAATAAGTAGTTTTATCACTTAAAATATTAAGTACCTCTGAAATATAATCGTTCTTATTGAGGATAACTACCCGTCCTCCCTTATCTGCAGGTCTGATAACCAAATCTTTCCTTTGAAGGAGAGACATTATAGCTTTGTTAGTGCCTGAACTGTCCTACGGTTGCTTAAATGGTATGGTAGCCAATTCCTTCGAGACTTTCCCCTTGAACAGATTGATGTATGAGTGAGAATGCGGATGGGGTTAAAGGTCGAAGCATTGCGGAGATTAGAGTGAACAAAATTATTAGAGGTAGTATTAGCAGTAATAGGGTTGCTAGCAAAGTACCTTTTACGTGATAACTGTCTTGCGAACTTGTGTATGTCGATATAAGCTTGAAATTTGTTAAGCTTATTGGCAGGGACATATTTCAGGCCCTTGTCTAATAAATTAAGTTCTTCCTTCGTAAGTTCCCCATTACTCAGATTAAAGATACCTTTGCCTTCTAAATCCTTAGTTTCTTTGTTGTGTCTATTAATTTGTCTGCCTCCTCTCTTTCCCCTATAGTATCACTTCTCTTTCGTACCCTTCCCTTCCCTAAAAAACGCTGTTGGGTGTCTAGCTCCCCCTAGCTGCCTAGGAGGGTGTTACTTGGGTATGGAACCCTCTCACCTGATCTGTAGCCCAGTAGCATATCAGTCTTTAAGCAGGGGGGGGTCCGTGTTCTCTTGATCCCTCTGTTAAAGAACGATGCAGATGACAGCACTCTGATCCTCTCTACCTGCTTCTCAGCGATGCCAGTGGTCTGCTATTCCTCCTCACTTCTCCACTATGCGGTCTGGCCCAGACCAGATCTCCCGTGCCCAGCACAGCCTTCTCCACACACCCCTTCTCTGGCTTTCACCACCCACTTCCTTCCTGTCTGGTTCCTGGGCTTCTGAATATATATGCTCTCACCCCTTAGCCAAATTCTCTGGGAAATGCAGTCGGTTCACTCATTATCTGAGCACCAAAGTGTTGCTACAAGCATACAAGCCCAACAAGGCTTTCCTTCAGTAGAGTCTGCTAAACCGCAGAACACTGCCAACTTGTGTTCACTTAACATCCTGCAACCAGTATTACTGCAGGGTGTTACAAATGTAACCTCCGCACATGCACAAAGGAGTCCATTCATTCCAGAACCTGGTACTTACTCTGGTTGTACACCAAGCTTCGCATGTGAAGCTGTCCATGTACAATTCTTTAAAAAAACTGCTAGTTGAAGCGAGAGAGATTTTATGGCAGAATAGGCATACAGGGGTGGATTTACTAAAGGCAAATAGACTGTGCACTTTGCATGTACTGTACAATTGCACTCATTTTCCCCAGAGCTTAATGAATGTTGGGCCTGCCTGAGAGAGCAGAGGGCTCACACCCCGTGGTCTTTGCGGAATCATTCTTCAAGCAACTCCTGAACATGCCTGACAGGCCTCTCACATATATGGTGGAATAGGCTCACCGGGTACCTACGGGCAATCAACCCTCTGGAGATCCACCCTGTCCCTTCCTGGTGAGGTCCCTGAATTTTCGTGACTGAGATATGATTTTACCCAAAGCTAGGAAACAGGAATTGCTCTTTGAAAATACCCAGGTGATGCTTTTTCTTGACTTTAAAGCAGAAACTCAGAAATACCGCCAGTCCTTCATGTATGTCAGATGCTGCCTGCAGTAGAAAGATATCTCCTACAGTATACTATACCCAAGCAGGCTCCAGGTCCCTCATCGTGGAGTGGTGAATTTCTTTGATACCCCCCATGGAGGGCAGTGAGTAGTTAGATATTGTATGAGTGAGTGCGGACATGCAGAAATCTTCCTTGGAACTCCTGTGGGGTGTGTTTTATAGTTAATAGTTCATTTCTGCTTTGTGTTCCCTGGTTTAGTACCTTGACTTATTTACCTGGATTGGAACTATACTCCTGATTTATACACCTTTTTGAAATTTTTTACCTTGCCATAGATACAATGCCAATAGTGTTGTCTTTGGCTCTGGAAGGCTAGCTCCTTGTTATATAGGGTGAAACCAACATCCTCCCTCATCCTGTTCCAGAGATCAGGGTGTTCTATATTCTTCAAGCTGGAGCTCGGCATGCCAGAACAGCTTAAAGGAACTATTTGTACTTATTTTGATGGTTATGTTTCTCAGGGCAATTGTTTTAGTTATGAGAGATAGCTGTGTTGTTTGCTAATAGGTTTGTTGCTACACAGCAGCAGGGTGGAGTGCAGTTTTCTTTTTCGGGAATTATCTCTATTGTTGGTTATGCAATACCTCATATTTTCCCCATGGCGATATTTTGAAATGTCTTCTATTTTGCTTTTGGTGCCCTACACTATGTGCCTCTTACAAGTGTTTAAAAAGACTACTATGTCGGTTACAAACCTGAAATTGTTCTCCTGGAACAGGTCCAGGCTTGAATGATAAGTTCAGGACAGCTCTGGTTTTCCAATGTTGGAAACCTTTTAAAACTCCTGTGGTTTTTTTTTTTTGCAGGAGACACATCTGGACGGCAGCAGGGTCCTGGCCTTATGGCTCCTGTGGATACAGAGGGCATTTCATGCCACATACTCCACCTACTCCCAGGGTGTCTCTATTGTAATCAGTAAGGCGGTCCTCTGTACTTGCCACCAGGTGCTCTCAGTATTTGATTGTTGTGGCAGACTTATTTACCACTAAAATGATGTTGGTAAATGTATATGTCCCTCCACCATTTAATGTACAAGTGTTATATGATCTTATGGCTAAGCTGGCTCCATTCATTCACCTTCTCCTGGCTGGAGATTTTAATGGAATTCTAGATGCCTCAAAACACACCTCTAATCCCCAGAGATCCCCTTCTTTAGAGTTGTCGGCATGGGCTGCTACGGTATCTATTACTGAACTGTGGTGTTGGAAACACCCTGAGACTATGTGGGTGGCCGATCAATGGGTCCAAACCAATATTCTATGTATTAGAACACCTGGGGGCTGCTGATCTTGTTACCATACTTGACACCTTTGTTAATTATGATAGTACATTATACTGTATAATCCTATTCCAGTATATAGTAATGAAGCCTTGGAGGAATGACTTACTGGCCTTCCCATACCCACTTTATAAATCTCCAGGTCTGGATGGCTTTCTGGCCGAGTGGTATAGACACTATATTGAAGTCTTGGATCCTAGATTACAATCTTTATACCAGGATTGATTGGATAACAGGGTATTGCCAGACTCCTTGTCTGAAGTGCATGTTATCCTGTTGCCTAAACCGGAAGCCAAAACCTTCTGGAATGCTTGTTCTGTAGACTGATCGCACTGCTTAATCAGGACCTTAAAATTCTAACTAAAGTCCTTGCCACAAGGTTGTCCCAAGTTATTACTACTACATTGACCAAACTGGGTTCATTCCTAATAAGTCCACGTATACTAATTTGAGAAGGTTGTTTACCCATTTGCAGGTTGATCATTCCAATCCAGGAACATGGGTGGTGGTTTCACTAGATATGGCGAAGGCCTTTGACTCTATGGACTAGCATTATATGGCCTCTGTCCTTCACCATATGGGTTTTGGGTCTCGTTTTTTGACCTGGATTTCCCAGCTTTATAGTCATCCTACAGCAGCATTCAAAATTGGGAATGGGGTGTCTCCCTTTTTTCCCATTGGAAGGGGGACTTGGCAAGGATATCCGCTTTCTCCTTCCCTTTATGTGTGGCACTGTGGTGATGTCAGGGGCCATGCTCAACTTGCATTAGATCGTAGTCTGATCCACTCATATACATCAGGAAACTTATCTAGTGTCTACATCAACCTCTGTTAACAGTAATCTAATTTTGTTTGTGTCACTATGTCATCTTGTGTCCTTTTCAGCTGCTTTCCTAAGGTGCGCATCATGACGTCTTGGGGAGCTCCTATCATATGGGAAGGAGACTACGACTTTGAGGAGGAAAATCGATTACATCAGAAAAAAAGGACTGTGGTTGGACTTTCTGTCTTTGCTGTAAAACAGTGAGTGTTCTTATCTTTTGATCTCTGCAATTGTATCACTATTTCTTAAAATCTACACTGCTCAAAAAAATTAAAGAACACTTTTTAACCAGAGTATAGCATTAAGTCAACTAAACTCCTGGGATTTTGATTGTTTAGTTAAGTAGCAGAGGGGAATGTTAATCAGTTTCAGCTGCTTTGGTGTTAATTAAATTAACAACAGGTGCACTAGATGGGCAACAGTGAGATGATCCACCAAACAGGAATGGTTTTACAGGTGGAGGCCACTGACATTTTTTTCCCTACTCATCTTTTCTAACTGTTTTTTACTAGTTTTTCATTTGGCAAGGGTCAGTGTCACTACTGGTAGCATGAGCTGATACCTGGACCCTACAGAGGTTGCACAGGCAGTCCAACTCTTCCAGGATGGCACATCAATACATGGCATTGCCAGAAGGTTTGCTGTGTCTCCCAGCACAGTCTCAAGAGCATGAAGGAGATTCAAGGAGACAGGTGAGTAGAAGGTCCTTAACCCATCAGCAGGACTGGTATCTGCTCCTTTGTGCAAGGAGGAACAGGATGAGCACTGCCAGAGCCTACAAAATGACCTCCAGCAGGCCACTGGTGTGAATGTCTCTGACCAAACAATCAGAAACAGACTTCATGAGGGTGGCCTGAGGGTCTGACGTCCTCTAGTGGGCCCTGTGCTCACTGCTTGGCACCACAGAGCTTGATTGGCATTTGCCAATGAACACCAGAATTGACAGGTCCGCCACTGGCGCCCTGTGTTTTTCACAGAGGAGAGCAGGTTCACCCTGAGCACATGTGACAAACGTGAAAGGGTCTGGAGAAACAATGGAGAATGTTATGCTGCCTACAACATCGCTCAGCATGACTGTTTTGGTGGTGTGTCAGTGATGGTCTGGGGAGGCATATCCATGGAGGGACGCACAGACCTCTACAGGCTAGACAATGGCACCCTGACTGTCATTAGGTATCAGGATGAAGTCCTTGGACCCATTATCAGACCCTGTGCTGGTGCAGTGGGTCCTGGGTTCCTCCTGGTGCACAATAAATGCCCGGCCTCATGTGGCAAGAGTATGCAGGCAGTTCCTGGAGGATAAAGGAATTGTTACCATTGAATTGCTCAATGCTCGCCTGACCTAAATCCAATAGAACACCTCTGGGATATCATGTTTTGGTCCATCCTACGCCATCAGCTTGCACCTCCGACTGTCCAGGAACTCGGTGATGCCCTGGTCCAGATCTGGGAGGAAATACCCTAGGACACCATCCATTGTCTTATTAGGAGCATGCCCCGACGTTGTCTGGCTTGCATACAAGCACATGGGGGCCATACAAACTACTGAGGACCATTCTGAGTTGCTGCAATGAAATTTCAGTAAAATGGACTAGCCTGCTGCATCTTTTTTTTTTTTTTTTGCTAAGTTCACCTTTGGAACATGTTACATGTTCCACCCGTTTTTTGGGTGGAACATGTAACATGTTCCCATAGCCGCAGCCGTCCCTGCTGCCCCCCCCCGACAAATAATATGGAGAGAAGTTTGCCCATACTATCTGTCAGATTTGAAAACAGTATGGCAGTGAGGGGCTCTGCCCACACGGCCGCGTCACTCATTCACAGAGTTCTGTGAATGAGTGCCTACAAGTGCCGGTTTGTGTCGGTTTGTAGTTTTCAATGAACTGAGTTCCTTGAAGCTTCCTGTCAGAATATCTGCTTGACCGTACATCCTATACATCCCCTACGTCAAGCAGATATTCTGACAGGTCTGCAGGAGACCTGCATGGCACCAGCCATCTACTGATCACTGGTGCAATGCTTTCCAGGCTCTTGCAGACAAAAATAATAAATGTACATTTTTCTACCTGCAAAAAAGATTGCATTTATTTTTTTTGTCCAAAAGGCGAACTTATCCTTTAAGCTGACCATAGTTGGAGTTTGAGTATGAAGTTACATTTACAAGACCTGTAAAGGTACACACTGAGTATACAAAATGTGGCTTATAGAGGCAATTTGCTTATTTTTTTTCTTCGGCCTGTAGGAGCAGCTGGATGTTAGCCTGTGACTATGCACATTAGGCAGTTTGCAGGCATATTTGCAGAGGAGCATTTAGAGGCAGAACAAAACACCATATCATCATAAATGCGTTTTTGTAATGAGCTTATGAACAGAAAAAATGCTTGACACTCATACATGAGGCATCTAGGAGCATTCAGTGTTTTCAAGTGTACATTGAAAAACAAGCAGAGGGAATGTTTTTGGAAAAAGAAAGCTTATAAAAGCGAGAGTCCATAAACTCTGCTAAACCCTTGTGCTGGTGATCAGCAGAACTTTGCCCTTTGTGCTGGTGATCAGCAGAACGTTGCCCCTTGTGCTGGTGGTCAGTGGAACTTTGCCCCTTGTGCTGGTGGTCAGCGGAACTTTGCCCCCTGTGCTGGTGGTCCGTGGAACTTTGCCCCCTTATGCTGGTGGTCAGTAGAACTTTGCCCCCTTGTGCTGGTGGTCAGTGGAACTTTGCCCCTCGTGCTGGTGATCAGCAAGACTTTGCCCCCTTGTGCTGGTGGTCAGTGGAACTTTGCCCCCTTGTGCTGGTGGTCAGTGGAACTTTGCCCCCTTGTGCTGGTGGTCAGTGGAACTTTGCCCCCTTGTGCTGGTGGTCAGTGGAACTTTGCCCCCTTGTGCTGGTGGTCAGCGGAACTTTGCCCCCTTGTGCTGGTGGTCAGTGGAACTTTGCCCCTTGTGCTGGTGGTCAGTGGAACTTTGCCCCCTTGTGCTGGTGGTCAGTGGAACTTTGCCCCTTGTGCTGGTGGTCAGTGGAACTTTGCCCCCTTGTGCTGGTGGTCAGTAGAACTTTGCCCCCTTGTGCTGGTGGTCAGTGGAACTTTGCCCCCTTGTGCTGGTGGTCAGTGGAACTTTGCCCCCTTGTGCTGGTGGTCAGTGGAACTTTGCTCCCTTGTGCTGGTGGTCAGTAGAACTTTGCCCCCTTGTGCTGGTGCTCAGCGGAACTTTGCCTCCTTGTGCTGGTGATCAGCGGAACTTTGCTTCCTTGTGCTGGTGGTTAGCGGAACTTTGCCCCCTTGTGCTGGTGGTCAGTGGCACTTTGCTTCCTTGTGCTGGTGATCAGTGGGAGCTCTGTTATTGTGTTTTCCTTTTAAGATAAAAGATGTTAATGTATGGGTAGTTTTTTTTCTAAACTAAAACCTCAGTATTCAGGTTTAATTGCACTGTTAGCACTTTGCGATAAATAAGTGGGTTTTGGGCACTCGGTCTCTAAAAAGTTCGCCATCACTGCTCTATAGTGTGTACTTGCCTCAATTAAGAGCACTAAGTGTCATTTCTGTCTGCTTCTTCATTCCTCTGCTATCAGCATGAGTCACTTCTGACAAGTTTTGTTGATACCTAGAGAAAAATAGTGGCGGGAGGGAGCTCCAGCAGATTGACAGCCTCAGCTCTGTTCCTGTGTGCTGTGTGGAGGGGAGCGTGTCTCTTCCCTCCAATCAGCTCTCAGATCTCTCCTCACTGAGCTCTGCAGAGTGCAAATTCAGCTCTCCGCCCCCTGTTTTTCAGAGCTAAGAGATCCTATATAAACTCTGTACTTTGAATAGATGTAGAGAAGGGAAGACTGCACATAAAACTTATGTAGGATTTGTTTAATCTCTGTGTATCACCCGAGGCCAGTCACTTCACTGGGTATATGGAAGGGTTTACACTTTATCTACAGCAGAAAAAAAAATCTATTTAACCGCTTCCTGACCGCCCTATAGCAGTAATACTGCTTCAGGGCAGTACGGGTGCGCATAATCACGTATATACACGTGATTTAGCCTTTCCAGGTAGGGGGGCGCGTGCGAGCCACGCGTACGCCCTACCCGTGCTGCCATTCATGGCCGCGGCTGTCAATCACCGGTTATAAAAGTTTGCAAATATATAATTGTTCTTCATAAATTTAGACCAAGATGTATTCTGCTACATTTCTGTGGCAAAAATAACCCAAATCAGTATTTATTATTTAATCTGTAGGAAAGTTATAGAGTTCACAAACTATGGGATATATCTGAATATTGATCAATCCTGAAGTACTGACAGCCAATCTAATTTCTTGAGGCCCAAAAATGTCAGAACAGTACAGATATCTCCCCAAATAACCCGTTTTTGCAAAGTAGACATTCCGACGTATTGCATAAGAGGTATGGTGAATTTTTTGAAAGTTGTAATTTTTTTGTCATAATTTTTTGGAAAATGAAGAAATTAAAAAACTTATTTTCACAATTTGTTTTTTACATACTCTTACCAGTGCAGTACAGCGTCATCATATAACTGGTGTGGTGGTGATCAGGGACACTGACTAGCGACAGTACAAAAAAAAAAGATAACTTTTTAAAATTCTTAAATTTTTTTTATTTTGTATTACATTTTTTCTCTTTTTTAAGATTTTTTTTTTTTTTTTTCATATTGCACTATGACCAAAGTAGTATAATGTTACCATAGTAACATTATACTACTTTGGGGAAGTGATCAGTATTTTTTTTTTTTTTTTTACTCAATTTGATTGCTTATAGCGAATTATTTCTTTGATATAAGCAAGCATTTAACTGAATGAAATAGATTCATTCAGGTTTTTTTTTGTTGTGATTAGCTGTGATTGGCCACGGCTAATCACATGACACAGATCGGCTGTGATTGGCCCAGCCTGTGCATGTGATCACTGTGACCATTCACAGCTAGACACACTTGTATACAATAGATGGCATGAAAGGAAGCCATCCATTGTATACAACTGTCATGTGACTTGCTGTAATTGGTCACAGCAGGTCACATGGTACTGGCAACAAGCCCGGTACACAGATCTGTCATCGGCCGTGTCCGCGGTACCTGGCTGGTGACAGATCCCTCCACAGCGCGGCCCTGCGGGCACGAGCAAAGGGCGATCCGGGAAGGATGTCATAGGATGCCCTCCCGGAGGAATGAAGTGTTCGCCCGGCCATCATTTGACCATAGGCCGAGTGGCAAGTGGTTAACTATAGTAATGACACTGAATATTTCAGGCGGTTTCCATAAAACATCAATCAGAATATGTTATAGATGCTACAATAAACCATGATGTGGTGTGCCATAAACTATCATAAACAGGAGTAGTTACACTGATATGTACATTTTTACTAACACATGTCAAAGTTGCAAAATTGTGTTCAGGCATTAACATTTGTTTTCCTTTCAGTCACTAGGGGGGTTGAAAAAAATGAATAAAACAAAAATTCACCCAAAACACTTATAATCTACCTTTAATTATGTTTTACTGGTATTCTAATGCAAGGTCTATGTCTTCTCTTCTTTCTTCTCAGATATCTGGAAAGTTATCTCACTGACTTCCTTGTCTCTGCCAATCTTTACTTTATGCCAGACCTTTCCTGTGTGTTTTACATCCTCACCGATTGTCCAGATCATGTGCCCGATATTAAACTGCGTCCCGGAGTGTCCAAGGTCATCTTCCAGATTCCGAAAAGAAGTCGCTGGCAAGATATCTCTATGCTACGCATGAAGGACTTGCTTGATCTTGTCTTGCCTCAGGCCATAGATGAAGTTGACTACCTCTTCTGTATGGATGTTGATCAGGTAGGTAAGATCCAGTATAATTTATACCACATTGGCCTGAGGATGCCACAACCTACAAGGATGCTTACATAATATTGCAATTAGCTTGACATGACATGCTCTTTTCAGCTTGCTAGTCTTTCTTGTTACTTCCAAAGCCCTACTACATAGAAAGCATTGCTCCCATGAATTGCAGTTTTGAATAAAACGCCCTATAATTATATGTTGTATCTGTGCAATCTCAAGTTTCTTCTTTGGTAAGGTGTTCCAGAAGAAAGAAGTGCTTCCTATTTGTCAGTGCAGTCATGAGCACTTTCCATTGCGAACATTATGATGAATACTCCCTCCAGTGCTGAGTATTGCAATGTATGGTGTGCAGATGGCTACTCTGGCAGCACAGGACATTGTGGCTGCTATGTGCAGCAGGGTCTGGAGGAGTGGTCAGGCTATTTGGAGATATTTTCATGTGGGGTTACAACCTCTGTCACGTATTACTGTTGTCTGTGTCAATGCTTGGTAGATTTTCCCATTTATTTATTTTGTTGACCAATGTCTCTGGGATAGACAATTATGGGAAAATCCCAAATTTTGAATTGTTGCTAGAATAGGAATAGAGCAGAAATCTTCCAATTTAGACTCTCGTTCCATGACAGCTGTCAGGCATATCATTTTGGATAGATTTCCTTTTAATTCTTGTTGCCTTTACAGGACAGGAAGTGAAAGAAAATTCCCAAAATTGTAGAAAAAAAAAAACCTGACTAGGATTTAAACCATTTCCTACCCTATCCAAAAATGAAAAGAAAAGGTCTAGGCTGTAGATATATTTTAAAGTGGTTGTAAAGGCTCAAGGTTTTTTACCTTTGTGCATAAAAAAACCTTCTCTGTGCAGCAGCCCCCAAGCCCCCCCCTTCTCACCTAAGCCCCCTCTTGATCCAGCGATGTGTACTGGAGTCTCGGCTATCCCAGCTCCCACTGGCTCCTGCTGCTGTCAACCACCACAACCAATGAGCCAATGAGAAAAGAGAAGGGGCAGGGTGTGAATGGACACACAGAGCAGCAGGTGTCCCCATTGCAAGCTGCTTGCTGTAGGGGCACCTGACAGGAGGGAGGGGCAAGGAGCGCTGGCAAGGAACCTGAGAAGAGGAAGATCTGGGCTGCTCTACCACTGCAGAGAGCAGGTAAATACGATGTATTTGTTATTTTAAATAAATAAATAAGCCTTTAATATCACTTTAACTACGGTTGTGCTCAAAATTTTGCATACCCTGGTAGAAATCGTGAAATGTTTGGCATTTATATTGAAAATATGACTGATCAAGCCAAAAAATTGTGTTTTATTTAAGGATAGTGATCATATGAAGCTATTTATTATCACATAGTTGTTTGTCTCCTTTGTAAATCATAATGATAACAGAAATCTCCCAAATGGCCATGATCAAAAGTTTACATACCCTGGAATATTTGGCCTTGGTACAGACACACAAGGTGATACAAATGGGTTAAAATGGCAATTAAAGCTTGATTTCTCACATCTGTAGCTTTTTAAATTGCAATTAGTGGCTGTGTCTGAATAGTCAATGAGTTTGTTAGTTCTCATGTTGATGCACTGAGCAGGCTAGATACTGAGCCATGGGGGAGCAGAAAAGATATCCAAAGCCTTGAATATGCCAGTCAGTACTGTTCAACCACTTATTAAGAAGTGGAAAGTTCAGGGTATATATAATATACCAAAGTAATACGCACAAATAAATTACATTTTCCAGATAATGCTCAATTTTGTATCCACTTTGTTCGCATATATATGCTTTTACACAACTTTCCTTCAACATTCCCTATCCAAACTATATCTTGCTAAATGCAGAGTAGTAATAAATACAGTATCCGTTGCTATTTCTGCATATCCATACACAAAATCTTGCTGGAAAAGTAATTTCAAAATTTAATTCATATCCTTAGTATCACTATCAAGACAGGATTAGCTTTACAGAAAATCAGTTCAATGTAAAGACAAAAAGATGCAGTAAAGCACTTTTTAACCACCTCCCGTCTGGCCGTTGTATATAAATGGCCGGACGGTGGCACTGCAGGGTCGGGTGTTCGTTTATAAACGGCCTCCCCGCCCCTTGCTTGTGCACGCTCCTTGGGAGCGCGCAGCACTGCAATCCGGTGCCCGCTGTGTCCTCCGGACACAGTGGAACACCAATCGTCGGACGGGACCTCTGTGCGAGGTCCCGATCATGTGATCACTGATTGGCCAATCAGTGATCACATGCAGAGTAGTAAGCAAGATGTCACTTCTGACATCATTGCTTACTACGTGTGAAATCTGTGAATGATCACAGAGGTCACATGATACAAGGCTATTCACAACAGCCTTGTACCATGTGACAAGCTGTGACCAATCACAGCTCTCACAGTAGTTCTCCATGGCTGCAAGAATGCAGCCAGAGAGAAGGAGAAATTATTGTTTTTACAGCCTTTATGGGTCAGTGTATCATCAGTGTTAAAAAAAAAATCTTCATCACCCCCCACAAGTAGTACAGTGTCACCATGGTGATACTGTACTGCTAGGGTGACAGTATGTAAAAAAAAAATAATATATAAAAAAAAAATTAAAAATGTAAAAAAAAGTTTAAAAATTATAATTTTTGGTTATAAACTAATTTGGGTTATATATATATATATTTTTTTTTTACTAAAAAGATAATGGATCATATTTTTGCTAAGATTTAAGATGAAATATTATTTATATGCAAAATTTTAGAAAAACACTTTTTTTCAAAATTTTGGGACTTTTTCAATTACATAGCAAAAAAAATTAAAAATCCCAGTGGTGAATAAATACCACCATAATAAAGCTTTATCTCTCTCAAAAAAATGCTAACAAATTCATATGGGTACAGTGTTGCATGACCGCGCAATTGTCATTCAAAGAGTGATAGCGCTGAAAGCTGAAAATTGGCCTGGACCGGAAGGGGGTAAAAGTGTCCGGACTGGAAGTGGTTAAGAGCTAGAGATGGGCTTTAAAGCTGACATCCGAAGATGGAAAATGTTTACCCTTGCAGCACGGTTCCCCTCCCCACTTCAAGGGTTAAAGTGTAATTCCACTTTTATATTCAAAAATGAAAATGTTACCCACCAACACCCTTCCCACACCACCGGTCCCTGGTGCACTGTACAAAGTGAGAAGTGTATGGATCTTTAAATCGAAAGACATGGGTGGCAGTGAGCTTAATAGGTTTAGCGGGTTCAGAAGAGTGGGAAGGGTAACATTAAATTTTTGGATGCAAAAGTGGAATTTAACTTTGTCTAGGATAGCCTACTCAACCACTTCAACATGGAGGAACCCCTAAAATAACTTTCCTGTTTCAGGGAACCCCTGATAAATATTATTAAATCTACAACTCATGATACAGTAGTGTGATGGTCAGTGGGAAGAAAGCTCCTTACGCTTGTCATTGGGAAGAATTACCCCCTTATAGATCGGTGGTGTCATTGGGAAGTTATCTGAGAGGCAGAAACTGCTCATTGAGTAAGGAACCCATGGCAACCTCTGGAAGAACCCTGGCTGAGAAACCTTGGTCTAGGATAATGATGATGAATAAGGTCAAAAACGTACCCTACTCATTGGTCTCCGGAGAGCCAGCACTCTCCTCCACTATCCAATGCTCTGAAATGTAAGTGGGTAAGTGAGCTGTTGATGGACAGCAATGGGAAGAGGCTTAGGAAGACTGGTTCCAAAAAGAGGAGGAATTCTACGGGTGCAAGGAGTAAGGTAAGTAAATCACCTCTTTCATCATCAGCCAAAATGGCCAAGAAAAAGGGGATCCCACCACAAGGGTAATGGTTTTTGTTTTTTTCCCCTGTAGGTAGACTTTAAGGTGAAACTAAACCTTCCTATTATTTTCAGCCAAGGAAGCTGCCTTCTTAGCCTCTGTTTGACCTGCAACTGCCATGGTGGTGCATAGGTCATCAGTTGTGGCCCCATCCATTTGATGGTTTGACAGTTTGCTTGAGAATGTGACAGGTAGTATTCCTGACATGCCAGTATGTAACTGCTTTTCGAAACCGTTAAATTGATGGGTTTAGTCCAGTTTTAAGAATAGGAAATCCAGCAACGTAGTCTTTCAAAGTGAAATGAGAACTGTTTTTGTTTATTAATTTTTTTTTAGTTCAACAACCAATCACATTTAAACCTGCACTGGAAAGTGAATGACAACTGAAAGTTTTAACATGATCGGTTACCTTCCATATATGCAAACCGTCATTTCAGACACATGGTCAGAATCAATCACAATCACAGCTTTAATTTCTATATTTGCAGATATTCACTTCCAATTATGGCCCTGAGGTACTTGGTGAGCTGGTGGCACAGATACACTCTGGCTATTATCTGGCCAACAGAGAAGACTTCACCTATGAAACCGACCCTCGATCTGCAGCGTACATACCTCCAGGACAGGGCCAATTTTACTACCATGCTTCCGTGTTTGGCGGCACGCCATTGAGTCTCTTTAACCTTACCTCCAGCTGTCTGAATGGCATCCTAAGGGATAAGAAGCAGAAAGTGGAAGCAATATGGCATGACGAAAGTCATCTCAACAGATATTTTGCCTTGGAAAGGCTACCAGAGAAGATACTGTCACCAGAGTATTGTTGGGACAACAGATTGTGGTTGAAGTATCATAAACTGGTCTGGGCAAAGAAAAAATATTCACAATTAAGAGTATAACTCAGATGAAGATGAGTCATGACAACTAAGTGACAAGGTTGTACAGACACAAGGAAGCTGTGGGTTTGGATCAAAAACTAGAGAAGGTTTTGACTGGAGTTCAACTTTAAGCCTGATGTATTTTGATTGGTTGCTGGTAGGCAACACCAACACTTTTCCTATCATAAAGGTATAGGTTTTTGCAGGCCAGTGTATTTTTAGGGGCTGGTTGAATTTTAGCAACAAAATGATCATCAAACTGGCACAAATGACTTGCCCCAAAATCTATAACTAATAACCAACTGGATTTGTCTTTTCAATGGGGTTGCTCTAAACTGCTGATAGGCAATTCTTTAATAGTTTAAAGGACATTTTTGCTCTTTGCACTGCCTAAAGGGATTTCACAAATGTAGTGTTTTAAAGCTGAACTCCAGACAGTGAAATAAACAGCTGGAATACGTACTGTATATGGGAGCTGTTTTACCTGCCAAAGGACTTGCATTTCTGTCCATCCAATCCTATGATTTACACAGCCCCCCTGCACAGCCACGAAAATCACACCATTTTGTGTAACAGAAGTAGCTGAGTATTTACCAGGTCAGCCTTCAATTAATGCAGAAACATTGACATTTTGGAGTTTAGGTTTCTCCCTTTAGTATTGGCTCACTTATTAGAGATGCAAGCATTTGGCATGCTTTAGATCCCTTCTTCAGGCCTTATACAATTGTAGGATTTACTGAATTGTATTAAGCCTGAAGAAGGCATCTAAGGCACCCTGAAAATTTCCATCAATAATAGCTTAAAGTGGTTGTAGTGATGGTGACTGGCTTCAGGTGACACACAGAGATCAAACCGATCCTCCTACATAAGTTGTATCTGTTTGAATGGACGTAGAGAAGAAAATACTGCAGTTAAAGTGCAGAATTTATACAGCTTGTCTGGGAGTTAAGAAAAACGGAGAGATGAAATTACACACTGCATAGCTCAGTGAGGAGAGCTTTGAGAGCAGATTGGAGGGAAGGGACACGCCCCCCATTCACACAGCACAGCACACAGGAAAAGAGATGAGGCTGTCGATCACAGGCTTTACCCTTTCCTGTCACCTTTTTTCTCTTGGTGTCAAGAAAACTTGTCAGAAGTGATTCATACTGATAGCTGAGAAATGAGGCAGCAGACAGAAATGGCACTTAGTGCTCTGGATTGAGGCAATTACACACTATAGAGGGATACTCTTTGTTCATATTTATGTCTACAACAACTTTAGACTAAATAATAAACCACTGCAAAAAACATTTTTGAAATTGGGCCCCAGTAGCTTATAGCAATAATATGTTAGTATGCACAGCATAATGGCATATTATGGCAGACTTACCTGGCTAGTGATCCCTTCCGGTGCCTTTAATGCTCCGGGCAGTCATGGGCACTGCTATCTTCTCCTGGTCTACTTTCCAGGTTCTGACTCTATGGCCACATGTTTGGCTGGGCACCGATGATTTGGACTGGAGTCACATCATCGCAGTACAGAGCTGTATGGCTCAGTGTACACATACATGCTGACAGGCAGGGAGAAAGATTTATGACAGAAGAGGACAATACGGTTTCATCTATCATAAAAATCCTGCCTGTCAGCGCTTTTTTTCCCCTTTTTTTTAAGTTTAATTCCGTTTTAAAACTCTAAATTTAACTTACAGTTAGAAATACAGTGTAGTCATCTCCCCTCCCTTACCCTGCTGATTAGGTAGTGAAGGGACAGCAGATGATTGATGAGCTCATCCTTCTGCTCCACTCCTATCATTATGTTCCTGGTCAGCTCATTGTAGCACTCCTCGTGGACTTGCTGTTCTGTCCTTCTCTCGGGTTAAATGGAGGTGCTTAAACTGTTTGCATTAAAAAAAATGTGATAGTGTATTGGGAAATGCAGAGCTGATGATAAGGGAGTAATTCATATTCGCATCAAGATCAAATTTAAAGATCCAAAAAAGATACTGATTTAAAGAGTAAAAGGGATTAAGGGGTTTTAAAGGGGTTTATTAAGAAGAAAAAAAACAATCCCCTCTGGGTAATCTAATTTTACCAAAATTTGTAGCAGATTCCTTCTTTTTTCTCTTCTGAAAAAAGCAGATAGGGCTCATGTACACTGAAGCTGATCAACTGACGTTCAGGAGCTGTTCAGCGTTTTTTTCAGCAGCCCCTGAACTCTCCCTAATGTTTTCCTATGTGTCCATGTACACATCGTCGTTTACAGGCAGTTGAGTTTACAGTCATCTTTTTTTTTTTTAATGCACCAAACTTGCTCTCAGGAGAAGATTTTACGGACGTTTCAAATGCCAAACGCTTGTAAACGTGGTTAGCCGCGTTTATAAGCGTTTGCATTTAGAAGCATTTTTTAACTGTTCCATGTCCAGATGCTGTCCAGAACCTTTTTTAATCATCTGAAATGCTTGCAAAGCATTTTCCATGTATTCAAATGGACCCGGTACACCAGCGCAGTCAGTTCCAGGTTTCGCATGAAGGAAAAAATGGTAGAACGTGCCGCATTATGCTCATGATGGGATCCATAGAGAATACAACCAGAAAAGACAGGTCATCTCAACACATACTGCTCTCTCTGCTTCTGCTCTCTCTATTCTTCTCAAAATGTCTGAAATAGTTAATTTTTTACTATTTTCAGTACATTCTGGGCATTTTGGAAGGTCTCCTGAGGTTATCTTTTAAAACCGCTTCTAAACGCAAACGCGCATAAACGCCGTATGCAAACGCAGCTAAACTGACTATTTTAACCTATGTTTTCCAGCAGTCAGTTTCCATCGTTCAGAAGAGTTTTCCAAACGCCCCGTGTACATGAGTCCTTGGTTCCACAATATCTTTTTCACTTTTTCAGACTGATTCTTGAATGCAAGGCCCTGCGTTCATTATAACCATCTTGTGCACTTTTAATGTTCTTTTGAGGAAAGTTGCAGTATCAGTACCTTTAGAAGTAATTAACCCTAAGGATGCTTTCACACTGCCCCGCTGCGGTTTGGCCACAGTGTAGTGTACCTGCGGTTTTCATGCAGGTTACCCCAGGTTTCCCATGTTGGCTGGTGTTGGAGTGGTGACAATTGGTTGCAAGATCTGAACACAATCAGAGGTCACATGCTCCCCCATGGAAGTACTGATTGTTTTCATCAGCCAAAGCAATGGAAAGGGAAGCAGTGGTTAACTGGCAAGATATCAGTGGGTCAGCGGGCCCATTACACAGACACTGCCACTTTTCCCATTCAGTGTCTCTTTAATTTGATGTGTTTGTAACCTTTGGGATGGCCTATACCTACACAGTACTTAAAGTGATACTCAACACACACTCTGTTTAATTTACATTATCCCTTCTCTTTCTGGATGGAGATGATGGCTCTGTAATTATTTTAATAAAAAAGAATATCTAAGTACCATTTTCCTAATCGATATACATCTGTCACAGGACCCAGATCTTTCCCAGCCTGTCTGTAGGGAAACATAAGCAGGAGGAACGTCTCGTCCTCTGTTGCTGGTCACATGTTCAAAATAAAAAAACAGCCTGTGGAATACAGAGTAAAAATAAAATAATATCAATAAACTTTTTTTTGTTTTAAATTATACAGATATATATTTGAAATAAAATCTTTATTTTTTGTTAATAACATGGTGTGGGTGGATTTCTGCCAGTCACAGGCTGTGTTACGCCCCTCCAGCCTGTGTCTTAGAATAAGTGTGAGGTGCAGCCTCCATCAATCAAGATGTAATATCCCGGCCCTATTCTGTTTAGCTGGTTAGTGGACATGGAGGAGGAGGGAGGGAGTGGGCTGTCATTTACCACTATTTATACGCCCACATGTGTGATTCTATAGTCACATGGGCTACTCAGGGAGGAAATGCATAGAAACTCACAAAGTGAGCATGTGCAGAGCTGCCAACACTGCTCTGCAAAATCCCCAACTACATTGGGGACATGATCAAAAGGGGAAGATATAGAACAGCAGGATCAACCAGGTATTTTGCAGAATTCGGAAAATTAATCACATCGTAAATGTTGTATTACATGCTGTTCATACTCACTCACTGATAGTTTTTTTATGATGTGGGTTTAGTGACACTTTAAGTATCTGGGATTATGAGCTTTGCCAATATTCAGGCGGCACAGAAGGCAGGCGTGTGATACAAGAGAATGCTTAATTTTATTTCCATAGTTTAGACTTAGAGTTTAGAGATTCTTGGTTTTTAGGAAAATGTTTTGATAATGTAGTTATAGTCTTAGAAATTGCTATGGTGTGGCATTTGTTTTATCTATATACTGTACATTTATACTATTTTTTTTTATCATTTAGATACGGTTATTTATTTTACATTTTTATATGGTTTATGGGGTTAGTGAATGGTTGTAACATTTGGCTTTCAGAACTTTTTTCAATGGACTGATTGATAGGATTTATATTACAGTACAGACTTTCAGAACAAACTATATTGGTTATTTTTATATAAAATTTATGTAATACACATTTTTTATGTGTGTGTGTGTGTGTGTGTGTTGTGTGTGTGTGTGTGTGTGTGTGTGTGTGTGTGTGTGTGTGTGTGTGTGTATATATATATATATATATATATATATATATATATATATATATATATATATATATATACAGTGCCTTGAAAAAGTCTTCATACCCTTTGAAAATTTTCCACATTTTGTCATGTTACAACCAAAAATGTAAATGCATTTTGTTGGGATTTTATGTGATAGACCAACACAAAGTGGCACATAATTGTGAAGTAGAAGGAAAATGATAAATGGTTTTCAACATTTTTTACAAGTACAGTACATCCAGAGTAAGTATTCACAGCGCTTAACTTTTTCCACATTTTGTTATCTTACAGCCTTATTCCAAAATGGATTAAATTTATTTTTTTCCTCAACATTCTACAAACAATACCCCATAATGACAACGTGAAAGAGGTTCATTTTTAAATCTTTGCAATTTATTCAAAATAAAAAACAGGGAAAAAAAATA